TGAAGTTCAAAGTAATTTGAATTATTAAAATAAAATTAAAATGCTATTTTAGAACTCAGTATTGAAAAAAAAATAAAGACATCACAGTTGTTTTCAAATATTCTTGACAATCTTCAAATATTCAGACTTTTAAACCAGGGGCTTTGATCTGAGAGAGACTTGACAAAATAGTGACAGAGAAAGTAAAAGTGTGGCAGTGGACTGACAAGGAAGGCTTTCATCAGACTGCTTGAGAAAATAGGATTATAACCTGTTTTACCTGCCCTCCCAGCCCGCTCCTCCTCCCTGGCACTGAATGCTGATCTGACACTTTAATCCTGAAATGAAGCTTCCCCCTCCTGTTCCAGGCAATGTTGAGAAGCATCACCTGGTCCTGTGGCACTGTGAGCTCCAGGGTGATGCACACCTGGGCTGGGAGCCCAGAGCAGGGAACCTCTCCTGGCTGCTGACCAGCCCCAAAGGCCGCCCTGCCTGTTCAGCCTCTGTTCAGGCAGTCTGAATTCAGAGCTCCACACCAGGGGACAAATGTGACAACCAGGTCAACTCCAAACATTGATTCAAGCCTGAAATGCAGAGTGAACAGATAAACACACCACAGCAATTAAGACTGGGGAGACAGTGAAATGCAGCTAAAGAGAGGAGCCTGAAGTTGCTCATATAAGCACATCCAACTTGACGGGACAACTCTAACAAAATCTTACACAGACATTGCAGCAAGACAGTTTTGAAGAGTGTTTAACTGAGTCATCTCTGAAGTCCTGGAGAAGATAATCCAGGTCCACTACATTTTTGAGTACTACAAAGTTTACACAAGAGTGTTTAAAGATTAAAAATATTTTATTTACACTTTTCTTTATACACATTTTATACAATTTTTTCAGTTTTAAACCCAAACAGAGCACATATGCAAGTCTGAGCATATTTGTATCCATGACAAGGGAAAATTACTTTCTGCCAAAAAAAAATATACAAGAAAAAATGCTTTAAAACAGTTAAAAAGAGGCAATTCTTAAATTATTTAGACAAGTTTATAGCAGTTCTAGGGTAATCATTAGACAGGTAATCCAAATGTATATATGAGGACATATACATATAATTTTGATTTTCTATAGGAAAAGTATTTCCAATGGCTAGACACAAACACAGTACAGTTTGAAAATAACTTTTCCTGTTAACTTATCAAATACATTCTTTTCAATACAAACAATCTGATATTGTACACTGGAATTGTGGGATATTATAGTGGAATTGCAATCTCCAGCATATAATAATTTATTTTAGAAAGATCTACAAAAATAACAATATGTAGGGAAAAATATTTAACATAAAAACATAATTCACTCTTCCCTTCACCTGCTCCAACACTGACATAAAAGTTAGGTGGGTCCCTCTGAGGTAATAAAAGCCCCCCTAAATATAGCTAACTTTACAGTCCTACAGAGCACTTCATTTCCTAGACTTACAGTAAGATTTTTCTACCAGAGCCATAAATAAAAACTATCTGCACATAGAAATTATTTTCCCCTAGCTACCAACATAATATTAATCCAGTAAGTATTGAAAATTGATTTTTGAAAGCTGTTTTTAAAAGATTACATAAATTGAACTTAGAGAAGTGTAAAAAAATTAGTAGAGGGACACACAGGAAAGCTGTGCTCAAAACAAATTAGTTTTTCTGCCACATGCCACAGACAACTGTTTTATGAAGTTTACCCACACAAAATGGAAATTTTCAAGTTACTCACCAACTTTCAAAAATAGAATACAAATGCAAAAGTAGTCATTAGCATTTCTTTTAAGCAGCTTTTAATTGTTTAACAAACATGAAAATCTCAGAATGTTAGCTGCAGGACACCAGCAAGCTCTGTTTAAACAGATGATGTGTTTTCCAGTTATGTTCTTTCCTACTCTCCTTCCGCAAACCCTGCCATGTGTGACAGATGCTTATTCAAGTAGCTTCACCACCTAGATATATATTTTTATTAGCAGGAGAGCAGGAGGGATGTTTTCTTTCATGGCCCCAACCCTATAAACTCTTAAGCACAGGCTGAGTAACACATGTGCTTACATGTTTTCCTTTAAGTACCTTAGAGTTTTCTGTTTCTTTGTATTGGACTGTTCACATATGTGAAATCCACATCTGAAGTGTTAAAAGAATCTGGGGCCCAATTCACTATTTATTTTTTTAAGAAAAAGTATATTAAAAAGGCAAAATACCTCTACAAATGCAACTACTTCTAAATAGACTTTGACAAATGCAGGCTGACACAAACTACCAGATTTATTTTAAAGAACTGTTAGCATCTCCCCACAATGCTTACTCTCCCTTTGCTAAAGAATGGACATCATGAGTTAAGCAATGGGGTTTTTTACATCAGTTTGAATTTGCACCTGCTGAATTTTGTCTTTGTTTTCTGAGTGTCAAGTGAAGCTTCATCCCTGACACAAGTAGGTACCATATTCTCAGCATGAGGAAATGCAGCACTTGGAATTCTTGAGGCAGGAGGGCCTCAAGAATCAATAGCTTCAAAGCTCAGGAACCAGGGAAATATTACAGTCAAACCCTCAGAGCTAGTTCTAACAGGACTGCTATCATACTGCAGAAGTAGGGCATCCACATTTTTCAAAAGTAACATAAAAGCAGGTTGCCAGGTAGCTTATATGCTGCCACTTGCTAGCAGTGCTTTCTGAAACAGCAGGACCTCTGTAAAACCAAGGTCTGCCTTCTTCCAGCTGAATTCATGGGTAAAAAAATACCTGAAGTTTCTTTTTGTCAGCTGATGCCTCCCCACAATGAAACTACCAACAAACACTTTGTGGCAGAAAGTGAGCTATTTTTTCCTTATGCAGTACTTAAAAAAAAAATCTGTCCCCTAAAACCAGACCTAGGAGCATGTGAAATGGGAACTGGCAGTATCCAGTCCCTTTACAGGAACACTGTGCTTTTTGTCCATTGTCTCATTTGAAAAGAAAATTTATTCCTGAAGTTGGTTGCTAAATTAAGAAATGAAGCTGATATATTTTTTCTATAGATGTGAAAAAAAAACCCCTAGACTGTAACTCATTATGTCCACCTTTCTAAAAAAAGGCAAGTACATTTGCTTTTCAAAGCAAGTCATATGTTGCATTTTAAATATGTGGGTAACATTAGATTTGCTGGTATTCCGTTATGGGATGGGAATAGGAGAACCTTGCCAAATCCAATAACCAAAGATCACAACTTTGCTATCCCTTTACAAATGAGAGCCATTTAAATGTTTTTTAAAATCCATCTTAATCTGACCATAACGCTCAAAATTTGATAGTAACAGGCAATTCTTATCAGCCATCTTAGGTTTGTTCCTAGTAAGGTACTAAGTTATCTGGAGCTAAATACTAAGAGTAAGCATAAAAAAAATTCAATTAAAAAAAATCCCTCCAAGTAACCAAAGTAACTGTCTCAATAGTTCCATTACAGTATAAAGGAGAAGAGAAGCTAATTTTTATATTTCAGGTCTGAAACAATGAAAGCACAGTAGATATGTAAACTGACAAAACATTCTCCCATATCCCCACCATTCTAATCCCTAATGCTGGAAAGCTTACAGCCAGCCTCTCAATGGGGACACAGCTTCAGGGAAGCTGAAACCAACAGTTCAATTATAATTTCACAGAACAATTACTACTACAATCCTGAACAAGAGCTTTCAGAACTGGGCACCTGAAGATAAACATGAGCTTAAAAGCAGAGCACCAAAACCCATCTGGTTCTTCATTTTTCAAGTGTCAGCACTCACCAATGACTTTAGTGGCAGCTGCTGAGTGCACAGAGCTTCAGAAGGTGCTTAAATGCAGACTCAAAAATGTAACTTGAGACACCCCTATCCTTACCACTACTTTTAATAAAGTCTTGGCCATGTCTTTAGGACATCTGACTCCTGAACACCAGATATCCAGAGCCAGGGCTGCTCCCACACTGGCACTGGCCCCACACAAAGTGAAGTGCTCTACTCTATGTAACGTGCCCTTGACAGCTGCCTCACATAGGATTAGCCTGCTGCCCCATTAAGAAATGAGCTGGTGACAAAAAAAAAATAACAACAAAACCACCAAAACAAACCAACAAAAAAACCCCAACCCTAACAAACAAAAATCTCTCAACTGTGTTTTTTTTCTCTTGTGCCCCAATATTCCATGAACTATGTACAGTCAGCACACAGGCAGCAACCCAGCAGAGTCAGTTTATCTCTCCCCACGTAGGGTGATGTACACGTCTCACAGTGAAACTGGGGTTTTAGTGTAAGCCACATTGTTTTTAAGTTAGTCTATCAAGACAGTAAATTAGATTTCTAATTCAGTAAACTGAATTCTTATTAAAAAAGACAAATTTAGCTGTAAACTAGTCTGCATCAGAAGGCTGAATATCAATATTTGGTCCAGTCCCTTCTGTTGTAAATAACTTATCACTACAGCTATGATGGCAAACATTCCCTCCTTCTTTTAAAACATATGAATATATTTGATTAATAAATCATTTCTAACAATAAACAAACCCTAAAAAATCTGCTGACTTGCCATATAGCTCCAAATACTCACATTTCAACCCAAAACATAATTCCTACAAAGATACAGGAACACAACAGGAGAAGTTTTACACATTGTTTTAACTTCTATTATTTGAAATTTCATTTACACAAGCAGATGTTATTTTTATATAGAAAATTTAGGGTGATTTTGGTCCCTTTGTAAGTGCATTCTTTTGAACTCCCTGAGTACTATACATTCCTTTTCTACAGTGAATTCTGACTGGAAGATGCTGAATAAAGTGGTTTTGCATTGCTGCATATAAAGTAAAGTCTACTGCTTAAAATGAAACACACCAGCATAAGATTTTACAAAATATGCAGCTCATGTTTCAGCATCTGAACTACATGTGAGCCTTCAGCTTCACCAGATCTCTCCTGTGGGTTCTAAAAGTGGCTAATTTACATCCACAAAGACAGTCCAAATGCAGTTACTGTTATTATTTGTGTCGTGGCAGATAATTCTTATCAATCTACTGTCATTTATACCTGCAAATTAGCACAATGGACAGTCAAAGCCCTCTTGGACCAGCCATCTCTATTCAGGCACTCCAAGGTCAGTAGCCATAGTTGTGTAGGTTTTTATAAAAGAAGCAGAAATTATACTAACAAACCAATCACCTAACTCCACATTTTCCAAACACAGTAGTTCTTAACAGTTAATAATTAAATAATAATAATAAAAATATTTTATCACTTCAATATGAGTACTCATATTGAAGTGTGAGTATAATAAAGTATTGACAATAAACTGTAGCATATCCAGTATCCAGTCCCAAAAATAACTGTGGGTTACAGCAGTGCTGAGCATTTCCTTATTGACATTTTCAATTTCAACAAAAAAAGAAAACTGGGCAGCACATCGAAACAAAAAAAACCTCAGGTAAAATGAGTTTACTTTAAAAAAATAATTTATAAAATAACAAATAACCAACAGTTCATTATGTAGCAACAATATAAAGAGTTTAAGGTTACTGGATCAATCAGTATATACTAAAGATACTTTGATACCAAATGAGGCTTCCAGTTTCACTTAAGAACTTTGAACAATTTAGCTCATGAAAGAATACCCTAAATTCAACAGATATGGCTGAATCTGTGCACTAGTTAAAATATAATATTGTAACTGCACATAAAAAGATGCATTTATATACAGTTTTTACAGTGTATGCACATGTGTGTATACATTTTTTTACTCACCAACAAACAACACAGACAATAGAAGGCAGCATAGAAATAGTGTTTTGAATATAAAAATGCTTTGTTTTCAATTTAGTAGAAAATGTGTAATTTGCATTTTGGCAGACTTACTGGTACAGCTATACAAAACCAGGAAAAGGGTCATGCAAAAGGGTCAAAATTCTTTTCCAAAGTAAATAAGGAAAAACAAAAACACCTAGTAGATTTGAGAGTACTTTGCAGTTAATAGGAAAAGCATCTAAAAGACAACATAAAATACAGAAATGGTTGGCTTGTTACTTTATACCTGGTTGTACCCAAGTACAGGTGATGAACTGTATTTTGATGCTCAATAAAAAATGAAAATAACATCCTTCTTCTCTTCCTTTCACAAATATTTTTGTCAAACTCAACTTCAAAAGCATAGTGGTATAATGGCCATTAAAAAAAACAGAACACATTGTGGACATAAAATGTTACCAAAAAAAAGCAGACTCAAAAATACACATTTTTCTCATACTTACAATTACATTTATTAAAAAAAAAACCAACAAAGCTTTCACAAGGTCAGACCAACTATCATCTTTTCTAATAAACTTGGTAAGTACACTGCCTGTACATCCTGTTTCTCTTGAGCATTTGGCCATTGTTCTTATACACAAGGAAATGTCTCTGCAGGAATTCAACTGGTTTGTAATTTTTTTCAACAAATTGGTATAGCTCTTTTGTATTTGACTGGGTTGTTCATTTTGTTTTAGCTGCAACGTCTGACATGCTCCAAAACATATTCAGGGAAGTGCAGGCTGCAGACCTGTAAGCCATCCAGCTTGCACGGCATCCTTGGATATTCATCTTCTTTCCACTTGTTTTCCTCTGGATCAAAAGTGAGAATTGAATCACTGTAATGACCATTGTAACAAAGGCCTCCAAGAACCATTATCTGCTTGTCCAGAACAGCCACACCATGACCACTCCTGCCTATCGGCATAGAAGCCAGTATAGTCCACTGATCGGTATCGGGGTCATAAACCTCTGTAGACGGACATCCCTGAGATTCAAAGGAAGCTCTCAGGATCACACAGACACCACCAAAGACATAGAGCTTACCATTATAAGAAATCATTTTGTGAAAGCATCTGGCATAATTCATTTTGCATTTGTTCTCCCAACAGTTAGTGACCACTTGAGTTCTCCGTGTTCGCTGCTCTACCGTCCCTTCCTTACTGGGATCAAACACACACACTTGCTTAGAAGTTGAAGAGGATGTAATTCCACCAGTGATATACAACTTGTTACCAAGCACAGTCCCTTCATGTCCGTACTTATTGACTGGGTAGGGATCCACAAACTCCCATTTATCTTCGGTAATGTCATAGCGTTCAGTGGAGTAAAAGGTTTCGTCCCTGGTTCTGCCGGCCACCGCATAAACGTACCTGCCAATCACCCCGACAGCGAACTCGGAGCGTGGCACAGACATGTCTGCCATCCGTAACCAAGTGTTCTGCCTGGGGTCGTACCTGAACACTTTGGATGAAGCATGGAACTCGCCATCCGGCCCCAGTTCTTCCCCACCTAATAAGAACACGAAGTTATTGACAATGGCGAGGCAGTCTGGTCGCAAAGGTACTTGAGGACCCTCTAGTTCCCACCAGACCCTCGGTTTGTGCAAGAGAAGGATTTTACTGTTTACCATACTGTGTCCTATCATTCCTCTAAATACTGCAGTCTGGGGTTTGGCAGAACGAATTTTGTTCGATTTCATTTCCATCAAAGGCTGCTGGTGAACGCTATGAAAGTAATTCATGGCTTGGTCAACCTCATGTCGCAGCTGCCGGGAGTATCGGTAAAACTCTGATGTTTTTACCTATGAATACATTTAAAAGATATTAAAATTCTGACCACGAGAAACAATCCAGAAAACCTAAATCACTATATGTCATTAGAAGATTATTCTACTTTGTTTCATTCAGGCAATCTTGAGAGCAATTGCATTTATGCATGAAGGTTTAAACTGATGTATTGTTATCCAAAATCCAGAAGGCAATTTAGTGATTAAGAGCAGTGACTAACATTTTCAGCAGAATAATCACATGCAGAATTTATGCTGGAATTAGGCACAACTGAAATCCCCAAGTCTAAGAATCATTCCTTCTCCTGAAAACAACTTCTGTTCATCTTCTGCTTAATCCATAAAGTACCCAAATTAAAAATTCCATATTTTCCTGCGTTTCAAAGACACTCTACACACCCATTCTGTGGTTACCAAGGTCTACTCTAGTCTGGTTTTTTTCTGCATTCTCACAAACGAAGCCTGAGCTCCCAAATGCTAGGCTCTGCTCACACAGCTATTAATTGCCATGGGGTGGGAAGGGAAGGTACCCAACTGCCTTCCTTCAGAATATGTGCTTGCACCAACCACTCATCATGATGACAACCTTAGGGCTTCCCCTGTGTGAGTCTCCACGTTAACACATGCCTTGAACACAAGAAGGAAACGTCTCCACCTATAATCCTCTGGTTGTGCATTTCTTTGGCAAATTGCAGAGGTAGGTTTGAACTTCCACTTTCCAGGTTGAGAGTTACAACCTAAAAGCCATCTTTGTTCAGTTTTATTGGAATTGCAGGCACAGGGGAAAATAAGAATTCCTTCTGGGACCCTTCCTACTATTTGAGCCTATTCAAGTGCCTGAGGCTGGTCCTGAGACCATTCCAAAACATATTCCTGTCCTGAACATTTTAATTAATCTAGCTCACTGTGGGAATCTCTTCAGAGGCCTCACTCTTCCTGTACAGTCTGGTGTAACACAGCATTCTGAATCACACTTCTAAAAAAAATCAAAGCCTGCTAGATGTTGCCAAATCCACAAACCCTCCATCAGATTTGATCCTAAATGCCAGTTTCTTTCACATAAAATTGGATTGCTTTCAAACAGTCTAAAAGCCTTTAGCATCCACCAGCTCCAAATAAGAAGCAATGCTCTGAAAAAAAAAAATCAGAGGCCACTCTGAAATTTCAAGTGATCACAAGGTAACACCAGGAGCTACCGTTTTTAAGTATCTTTTACCCCACCTCCTCCTACCCTCTGTCCCAAAGAATAAATGCCTCAGGGGTGGTGGTATCAATTTTGACATATATGGAACGCAATTTGGAAATTAATGTTCTTTATACCTTGTGAATAAAGTAGCTGCTTGTTCCACAAACACATACCATTAAAATTTTGTTAGCCATCTGGTAATCATATCTTCCTTGTGTAGTAATTAGGACATTGTGCTGTCAAAGAATGATTGTTTAAAAAAATCTTTTGAACTGCTATTATTGAACACAATTTGCACAGTTTTTGAGACAGTTTGAAACACCCAATTTCAAAAAGAAAGCCAAATATTAACCTACTATTGTAAAGTGATGTATTGCTCAAGAGTTACAGTGACTTTATGTTTTTATTTAAACTTTTTCTTTCCTCCACTTAAATCTTGGCAAGTTTAACTTATCTTTGTTTGAAAAAAGGAGGATGGTCACATGCAGATCATATATATTATTCTTGAAGCAATGTCCAGCCTCTTTCTACTGTTTTTACCAGAAGTGATTTTGGAGCAAAAAAGTCTACTTAGGTATGGTACTCACAGAAAACCCACAGCAAGCCCAACTCTTCTGGGAACAACAGCTATGTTTTCTTGTTGCAAATAGATAATATATCATACAAAGACAGATTTGCTCATATGATATTTGTTAGAATAAACCATTTACTTTGCCTGACTGAAAAGACTGAACATAAATTACAGAAAATATGCTGCCAGGGAGAACCACAGCACAGGAAAATGGTGACATATAAAGGTTAAAAAAAATGAAAAAAGAAGTTAAAATAACAAAGAATCATTGCTGGGCTACTTTATCCTTAAAAGGAACTTTCAAATTCTAAACCGGCAGGACTACTTCAGGTATTCTCAAACTGGAGCTATCCTCTTTGGAGTTCAATAAAAATATAAATTCTCTTTTTTTCCACCTATATTCAGTTCAGGTTTTCTTGGACAATTATGGAAGACAACAGGATCAACATGCTTACAATGTGAAGCATATCAGTAAAACCTGGCAGAAATGGAAATTTTTTTCGTTCTCCCTCAGCATTTACAACTCTGTTATTAGATCTAGAAATTGGAATGCCAGCCAGAAACTGGAATTAAAATAAGCCTACAACCTCATCGGTGTACTCCTCCACACAGCCTAAATCTCACCCCATGAGAGCATGCCAAAGGAAACAAGGAGTATCTCTAATTCCAGAGAGGGACCCTCAAGACCAGGGAATGAATCTCTTAGTTTACTATTGCTTATCTTGACAAAGGCACTCATGTCAAAGCCAAGCCTCAAGCTCCTACCTTAAATGACAAAGACATGATGGAGCAAATGCAACTGCAGTTATTAACACCCTCTGTGACTGCAGCTCACGGGGAAGCTTCGACAAGCACAGCTTGGAAGAGCTGAACATGAAAACACACAAGCACTAGCAATTCTTACAATATGCAGAAAAAAACCCCCCACAAAACAAGAGTGATTGACTGCCTCACTTCTGGGAAGAAAAGGTAATTGGAGCATTCCTAGACTTGGCTGTCAAGGAAAAATATCCCTGTTTTTAACCATCCACCTTTCACCAGCATAACCTCTGCCATACAGGGGCAGTACATCTCCTGAGGCTCAAATGATGAATGTGAGGATATCCCTATAGGAAAGTACAGACTGCTCACACTTGCTTAATGCAAATGAAAACAAAGCAAATGTAGGTCATTTGACCCATTTTCAGTCATATATTCTAGAATGTTCTAGAAATATTTGAAATGTTCTAGAAATATTTGCAATGTTCTAGAAGTATTTGAAAGCCCTGTTCAGTCCCTAGTAAGAAAAACCCTCTGCCTACACTTTCAAGTAATTTAACAGTAATTTTCATTACTTGTGTATATTATCAAAAAAGAGAAGCATTGAAATTTAGGTGGTTTGGTATTTAAAACAACTCTAAGCTGTGAATGTCAGCAGATGAACGCCCATGGCCTTTTGCAGGAACTTCTGACACCCAAAACATGCAGAAGGAAAGCCCTCAGCCTTCAAAAGCAGGCTCTGCCACTACCTGCAAGGAGCAACAAGGAGCTGATCAGCAAATATCAAAGTCCTTATCAACAGACTAATTTTCCTGTTAGGCTCAAATGGAGAAGCTCTGGAAGGAATGTGTCCATAATAACACTCACACAGAACACACGGATTTCAGCAGAACAGGTGGAAATGCACAGCAATTGTCAGGAGCCCTGAAGTAAAACAAATGTGCATTCCTAAAGAGTACATCATCAACTCTGATTTTATAAAAAAATATAAATGCTTCAAAGCATTTTCAAAGTTTTTCTTTAAAGTGTTCTGTTATCTTGCTGAAAGGTCTCAGAGGAATTTTAAGTCGGACTTGCTTATCAACCCGTCATACCTGTTAAAAAAGGAATTTAATCCAAGTCTAAAGCTTTGCTCATGTGATTTTCTTTACATACTTTACATTCTTTCCAAATCTTTCTTTAATTTTCTGGAGAAAATCCCCTTAAAGAGGTTATGCTGGGACAAAACATAATGTAAGAGTTTCCAAAAGATCTCCAGAGATGAAGGATGGGAACTATCTCAGTGTATGAACTACCAATGGTTCACAGTTTTTCTGCTACATAGACTGAGAACAGCATAAACAAAATCAAATGTGTTATTCCATAATAAAAGATGTAAAAATAATTAGAAACATCCATCCCTCTACTTTTCCCCTGGGGAATCCCTCCAATGCATTTGAGCTTTAATGCATTTCCTCTCTTCATTTTAAACCACTCCATAAAAAGTGCTGGCTTTCCAAGTTAATGCAGTGATTAATCACTGCCTATTTTTCTGCTGTACTGAATACATGCTTTTCTAGTTGTAGCAGCTATGGAAGTCTCAGAATCTTCCATTTGTATTATATGAAGAAGTAAAACAAAAAATTAAGCCATTACTTTCTAATTTGAAAAGTTATCTCCACAAAAGATCAGCTGTGTCCCACATTATGTTCATCAGCTTTCCCCCTCCCCAAAACCAATTATGCTAATTAATAAGCCGCAGGAAGAGCAATGAAATGCCAGGTAAGTGTTCTCTAACACATCTGACTTCAGTATACAAACTTTAAAAAAAAAATTCCTCATACAAATATTTACAGCTACTGCTCTGTTTGCATTCTTGTTACTTAGGTTTATAAGAAAAAGCTTTAAAAATCAAAAAACTGGCTTCTTTTGAAGTGCTCAAACTAAACAGCTATTATTTGTGCACCTGGTAACTAAATTTTAGTATGTTATTATATGGGGTGGCTATTAACTTGCTTCCTTATGTAGAACTGGTAAAAAAACCACAAAGACAAACAAAAACAAAAGCACAGAAAAATCCCAATGGCTCATAATGTCACTTTATCATCTCTAGTCATTAAACAGAGAATTGTTTTAAAGATTCCAACTTATTGTCCTTATGTTTTCTAAGCCTGCCCATTCTGAATGTGTGATGCAGCTCAAACTCAGCTACCAGGAGTACAGAAGCAATGCTCCACCTTCCCAATGAACAATGATGGCATCTGTATCACATTTCTAATAACCAAATTCTTGCTCAAAACAAAACCCTCAAGTTATTTTACTAGAGATTAACCTGAACCAAAACTAAAGATCCATCAATTTCACTAACAAGGATCCTTATTATTTTCACATCTGTTCATCTCTGGCCATATTCTAACCACAATTACAAGCTGGTATGAGAACTGCTCAGTACCAGTGAAGGGCTTTGAAGGGCTAAAATGCAAGAACAGAAATCACTTAAGTGTTTTCAGCCTAACCAAAGAAAGGCACAGCCTCTGTGCAGCAAGGACAATGCCCTCAAATTGATTACTCAGCTGTTCCTTTTTAGAAGTTCTTAAAAAGGAAAGAGAAATTGTCAAAATCAAGCTGGAGTCTAACTCAGTCTAACCTCTGAAATGAGAGTGGAATCAAAAATCTATATGCCACAATTAAGAAGCTCTGCATGCAATAAATGCTGCTAGCAAATCTATTCACATCAACAGTGATCTCAACACCCAAAAATATTGAGCCCAGCACCTATTTACAATAAGAAGGGCCCCTAACTTCATCCACAATTCTTATTCTATGCTTCAGCACACCAAGTTGTGTAAGTAGATACATATGTATTACTAGAAATGCAGGTAAATAGGAAAATAATTCAACACACTTATGAAAAGTAAAATCACAGTAACATAAAATTACAATGACATCTTCTGAAAAATTATTATTTTCTAGGAACAGGACAGCAGATATTCAAATATAATGTGCTATTTATCCTACCTCTACAACAGAAGCTGATGAACCTAGTGATTAGTAAATTTCTGATTTAAACTAGCAATTAATAAGAAAGAGCTAGTCATAATAAACCTTACAGACTGGACATAAAAAAAAATCTCTGGGTTTTAAGGACAGAGATTTTGAAACAACATTTCAATCTGAGTAGTGCACAGAACCTAAATGGAGCTTAAACAGTGTATTTCAGGGAAATCATGACATGGTGGCCTCCAGTAACACGGAGATTAACTCAGTGATCCAGGTGAAGGGCACTCCACTCCTATCTCCAAACTTCCCCAAGACTTACAGAGTCGTGGATAGGTTTAGTAAAAACAGGAAAGCACATGGATAATATCACATGGATAGTGAAACTTGTGCTTTTCCCCAAATACTTTGCCTTTACTTTCTAACTATTCCCTAAATCCTTATCTGATTTATATTCCCATTTTTCCCATACATCTGCATGTACCTTAAGGGCTGAGGAACAAAAGGAGTACCTACTCATAGCTCAGAAGCCATTCTTCCAGGACATTCTGTAGTAAGCAAACATGCTGTACCTCCACTTGTGCACTCTAAATGCACTTCATGATTTAATTTTTAAATTGTACATCTCTACAAAAAAAATGATGTAAGGAACAGAATGGCTTAAGAGGACAAAAGTATCCTTACCACAACTTGCAAAGTTAAGTTATGTAAGTTATTTATATCCTACAGTGACAGGCATCTGAGAAATGTGTATTAGAAAGATTACACAAAAGTACATAACAAGTCAGCCAGGGTACAGCAAATACAGAGTTTGGTGAACTGGAAGAGTCAACCTCAGACTGTATTTGGTACATTCATGCATTTACTATGTGCTGGCTTCAGGAAAAGGGAGGATTCTGTTTGTGGATCTCCAAAAAAGGGAATTTTACCACTATTTCCCCATTCCACACAGAGAAGAAAGAGGCTCTCCCTGAGTTACTGCCAGAACAGTGAACAGACATGCTCTTTTATTAAAAAAATAAAGTGTTCCATATTCTGATGTTGGCTCCAACTGCAGTTGTCCTTTGTCACTTGTCCTGCTGGATAACTCAATACTCTCCAGCCAGGGTGGAACACAAATGCATTGCTAGCTGCAGTAACAAATGGCATAATTAGCTCTGCTTCCCTCTGCTGAGCTGTCTCACTCCATAACCTGCACTGGCTTTTCTCTGCTCCCACACACAATTAACAGAGAGGGTATTAGCAGATAAAGCTTTTACATGTAGGTACATAACCATGCATGCTCAAACCAGCTGCTCTCCTGAAGTTGCACCTATTGGGCCACTGGGAAGCTGTCAGGATAAAACATGAGGAGCACTGTATGCAGGATTTATGCCAATGATCCCAAAACCAACTCCAGAAGTTATACCCAAATATAATGCTGAACATACACTTTCACTTGCACTTACAGAAATTTAACTGAAGACAGCTTGATGCTTGAGCTTGCATCCCCAAAATTCATAATGCTGAAGCAGACTCACATAAATCCTGCCTTATCAGATCAACCTCAAAAAGTATGTTGTGAACTCTGTAGTTTTATTACTGAAGAGCTTAAATGATGTAATAATATGGTAGAAGTACCCATTTAAAACAAGACACTACACAGTATCCTGCAGAGTTCAGCTCCTACTAGTTAAAAATATTTTAGCCCAATATAAACATTACATTAGTGTTCTAAAATATGTTTAGGTATTTATTTTATTTATGTCTACAATCCAATATAGCATAATAAATATATTTTATGTATTATTACTTCCTATACTCAGTTCACACACACAGAAAAAAATCCAAAATATAAAAAGTCACTCGTCTGAAGTAATTAATAGCTCTTATAATATGAAATACAAATAAGAATTACTGCTTAGATGATCCAGTGGCCCTTAAAACCATTAAACCTGCTTAGATGATCCAGTGGCTCTTAAAACCATTACAACCTTGTCTGTAGATTCACTAGATACTAAAGTAAAAATATATGGAAGATTAATTTGTAAAAGCACAACAAAAACATGGGTTCTGAATTCCTATTAATTTGCTGAGAGGTGAAAAATACAGAAGTTGAAGTTGTACCTTATAACACAAAATTAACATTGTTAAAACAGCACAGATCAAGTAATTCCTAACCTGAACACTGTTACTGGCCTGTATGAGAACTGCTTACAAAGTATTGTAATCTTTGTGCTGTTAATAAATATTCAGAGATTCTGAAGAACTAGAAAACAATTTTTTTTTGTCTGTTCTTCAATAGTAGAAAAGGCAAGTTCTCATTTAGCTCTTACTACATACAATGGAAGTTAACTATAAACCACCTGTTACAGAGTCCTCTGATATTTAAAGTAAATCATTACATTTGACACCATCAATAATTTTTGATTGTATTATGTCTTGTGTACAACCAAGTGTATGAGTAATTTTGCAGGATCAGGGCTTACTTCTAACTGCTGTGTAATAGCACAAGCACTGAAGATATAACAACAAGAAAACTGCAGATTTAAGAGCAGATGCTACTTTTCATTTGTAAATAACTCTCTTCTGTACTTAAACCACATAAGATGTGCAGTCACTATTTTTGATTGTATTGGTAACAACCATCATAACATACACCCTACATATTATGTGCAGGTCTAGAGCCTCTGGAAAGCAAGAAACAACTTGTGGAAAACAGTTAAGAACGTTTAAAAATCAAACTAGATACAAGTGACCTTATTTCAAAAGGTCTTTTCCATATTAAGTCACACATAAACATGAACTGCACACATACCTGTTCTCCAGCCACTGTAGTATTATTGTCTAATAACCAAAGACAACACTTCTACATGTTTGTCTTCTCTGCTTTTCTTTATTAGAAAAATAAATGCTATCATTTTGTTCCTTTGCATAGCTTCTGGAATCTTACCTATTTAATGGCATGCTGCCCTAGCTAAATGGAGAATCCTGCCTACTGCTTTTCAAATGCACCAACCTTCTCAAAAACACTGGATGGTGTCATCAAACAAAACCTGATGTTCTGAATGATGGTGTCCGTATGTCTCCAGCGTCTTCTATCATGGCGCAGCCAGGCCTGCACAGCTTCATACAGCTCTATCTCTGGAAACCTGCTCAGATGGTCATTGTCCAAGTAAGACATGAGCTTCTCAAAGCTCAGGTATGAAAGAAAGTCAGGTCTGGACATGAGTGGCACAAAATTCTCTAGCAGAAAGGAATCCAGTTTTTCCCTGACTCCTTCGATGTTTACACCAAAATCATCCAGAAGTCTCATAATTTCTGCACAGTTTTCTAAGCAGATTTTAGCTAAGAGAAAAGAGCAGCAAAACTTTACCACCTCTATAAGCTGGACATACATGGCAGCCTGAAGGATTTCATGAACAGTGTTCATACTCAGTTCAATAGTTCCATAGTACATGAATTGGAGGACATGACTGAAGCCTGTAGCTGTCAGACCTTTCAAATGGATTTTGTCCTGATCTCGTTCTCGCATGTCTGCTGTGAACATAATCCTGAAGTAATCACTCTGGGTGGCAAGCAGTGCTTTATGGGCCTGAAATTGGTGGTCTTCAATGACAAGTGTGACATCAAGAAGCAATCCCTCCTCATACAGTGCTCTGAATCCTGCAGAGACACTGGTGTCATGGATGGAGGAGCTAAACCCTTCCACGTCCCCTGCCATGAATCACCTGGGGGGAAGAAAGAAAATAAATAAAAATAAAAATAAATCATAACTTCTAATAACATATTACAAGCTCTTCCTGACCAGATAAATCCTAACTGAGATTGCTTTGATTAGGACTTAAAAGTGTTCACCATTCTTTCTGTTCTGTCTCCAGCTGAAAAATCAACTTAGGAAATAACTTAAAAACACAAACTTTAAATATTCCTCCCCAAACCAAATATTCTCATTTTAAAGACAGGGTAATGAACAAAAATAACTATGCAATACTGCCAAAATGATTCCTTACTCCAAGTTAATTCATGGTCATATAATGAACTAAAAGGTTGTCATGGTTTTTTTCCTCTCTCCCGTCAATCTTTCTAAAGAATTTATCTCAGGGGAGCAATAAAACACCCACTCTTGGATATCAAAGGTCTCAAAAAAAGGAAGCCAAACTTCCTTAACTTCAGAAATAAGCTCCAGTAGATCTGTACATGGTATGATATTAAAAAAACTCCAACATCTATTGTGCTTTAAGATCTATGTCAACTTACTCCAAAGTTATTTGTAGGAAAATGAACATTTTCACAGATACTATTTGAGATTGTGTACTTCACTTCTCCTGTAACAACACAGTCCCATCATGTTCCCCCCCATTTCTTCTATACTGTGAAGTGCAAAATACTAAGGCAACAAGAAGCACTGACAAGAATAGGTCACAAAATTGATATTCTGTATAGTGGGCTTAGTGAGGCTTAATTGCTCATTAAGCATTTGCAGATATAACATTACTTATATGCAAGCTAAAATTAAACTGCAAATAAACCAAAAAAATCTAAGAGTAGCAGGACCCTACCCTGTTTAAGTCAATTAAATAATCAAAATAAAAACCTATTCAAAATCCAGAAACTTCTCAAAATGCTGCTCAACTGCTTTGGGTTTAGGCAGGGTGGAGTTGCCCAATGCAGCTTGAACCAATTAACAATTCACGAAAGGACCACAGCAGCTGCATTCTCCTTCTCTGTCACACTGCAGGACCTGAGCTCCTGCTGCCTGCTTTGAGCCATTTCTGGGGTTCACTGGGCTACTCCAGAAAGTCAATTTAACTCATAAACATGGCTAAAAATTAAACTAAGAGCAGGGAGGGACAGGTGTGAAAAAGACACATGACACAAACATGTCACACACAAACCCTCAAAACTAGGAATCTTTCTGTTTCCCAGTGAGCTGACTTCTGACCTGACACTGTGGGGTTTGGCACAAGAACCAACCTGATGCAGAGGGCAGGACACATACTTGTGCAGGAAGAGAGAGAAAGATCAACAACTTCCCTACTTGGCATTCATTTCCTATTAGAATTGGTTCAGCTACTTTTGTTCTACTTCATTCCACCTTAAATTATACTTCAATTTTCCCTCAGATGTTTGTTGCATTTAACTCTGAATTTTCTATAACAAATGAAGATAATAATGTTTTGGTACTGGTAACCCACATGAAAATCTAAATACCACACATTTGAGAAACCTGCAGATTCTCAAACTTCACACAAATCTGTGGAGCCAGAAGTGACTCCAGGCTGGCCTGTGTTTCACAGCCTCAGAGAGCAGTTTCCACTCGCCCCCACTTCCTCAAGCACCACATTCTGGCTGCTGCCATTATAACAGGAATGCATTTTATTACACTCATCAATGGTTAATCATCTCCTCTCCTTCACTCCTCAGCACACATCCTGGAAAACCAAACTGGAGATACCCTTTGTGCAAAACTGATCTGGTGAATGGGTGTTTGCAGCCACACCTCAGCAGCACTCCCACAGTGCTGAAGGCTGATGATGGGTTCTGGGCACGATAAAGCCAATGCTGGGAGTGCTCTTTACAATGAAGGCGTTCTCACAGAACTCAGATTCCTGGAAGTAAGAGCAGGAGTAAAGAACAAAGATGACAGCCCAATCACTTTCTCACCAGTATCCCAGATAGCACCTGCCCTTCACTGGCACTGGAGACAAAGAGAAACATGCAAACTGCTCTGCACCCTCACACTGTGAGTCTCTTATTCCTCAACATCAAATGCCTACCAGAAAGAGAAATTACCATCAGATATATTTCTTTGTTGTTGCCAACTCTTACACAAAAGCAGATGAGCAAAGAACCACTTCATGAATTTTTACCACCTCAAAAAAGCACCCAACTGAAGAGGAGGCATAAAGCCTTTGTTACAGGATTTTGCTTTCTAACTGGATTTCTGATATCAAATAAAAAAGTAAGAACCAGTATCAGCTTACTTCCTTCTTTCACTGGAGTACTTGTAACTCCTCTTTGCCCATCCCCAGCTCTCTGATGTTAAATAATAGCTGAGCTCATCCTTCTTGTTCAGAGATTTAATGATCACTTGCCTTTAAATGGGCCACTTATTTTCATAAAACATACAGTGACCTAAAGCAACTCTCACTGCTGTCTGAAATGAGCCAAGAGCTTCAGTGGTTACAAGGACTCTCAGACAGAACAACTGTGGAAGTCACAGAGCTTCAGGAGACCAACTAAGACTTGGCTCAGCATCAGTTCCATGATCAGGGTTAAAAATGGGAAAGGACAGTTGGAATTTGCAAATGTGAGAATGAGAACAAAATGACACAACAGTGTATCAGGGGAGAAAAGTAAAAAATGAAGCAACATTCCCCAAGTGACAGTAGCAATTGTACATTCATCTGGAAATGATGGGATCTCCCATCCCACAGGTAATCCTACTGAAGGGATTCCTTCAAAAGAGTATGTGCACATCTGTGTACCTGAACAGCACTGAAAATCCACAGCAGCAAGCTCCAAATACAGGAGGATCTTTGCCCTTACTTTGACAAAGGTAATTACATTATGGGTACTCGTCAAAAAAAAGGAGACTAATTAACTTGTACACAGGATGGACCTAAAAGAAAGGCCTCAAAGAAGCAAAAGGAAAAAAGTTGGAAGTGAAGTTAAGCAGAGAGACATGGTAGATGCACCTCCAGTGTTGCTTTTAAGGAGCAAAACAAGGAAATAATATTCAACAGAATCCAATAAAAACTCCAATTCCAAAACAAACAACCCCCAAACAAACAAAGAAAACACAAAACCCCCAACCAAGCCAGCACCAGAGTCCTGGGCAACTGGCTCTAGGTGGCCCTGCAGGTGGCACAGATGACCTCCAGAGGCCCCTCAGGACCTCAGCCAGTCTGTGAATCGGTGATCCTGCTGCTTTTGCACAGACACTGCAACGATGTGGGGATTTTTCTGCCACCTTCTTTTTAATTCTGATTGAATAAAAATAAGACAAATATACATACACACAAAAAAAAAATCATGTATATGTTATTGTCCTTTGAATTTTAAATCTAGCAAGGCAGCAGTCACTGAAATACTGAGAAATAAACTCCACCTGTATTTAGGGAACACCCTTTAGGGCTGCAATTTTTACATCTCACTACAACTGGCTATTCCATTAAAAATATTTTAAACTCTGAGTCAGCCACAAATCTCCATAACAGTAACAAAGGGGTCAACACTTGGAAACTATTATTTCTGAATGTTTTAAAAATGTGGGTGTTTAAATCACTTAATCCTTCTTTCCACATTCCTGCTGATATTACTTTTAGTAAATCTACAGATTTCAACATTAACATATTTTTCCTCCTAAACAGCAGTGAGCATTTAATGGATTACTTAAGAAGACACAAAAGCAGTAAGACTTCTCCTTACATCATCTAAAGAAGCTTCAGAATTCTAGGAGTGAAAAGCAAAAGGACTACTTGTCTCCCTGAATTAAATAAAAGGAGTAAATATCCTTTTCTTGGCATAAAGCCATACACATTATCAGCAGATAAATTCTTAAAATCAAAAAAATGCATTGCCAGTGCAAATACACAAAGGGGTTAAAATAGTACAAAAACTAGGAAAGTAGATAATTAAATGCATATTATGCTTAATTGGTAAAAATCTTCATTTCTAAGGCTAACATCCTCCATCAAAAGCAAATAGCAATGTGGTAGTTCAAACATTTAAAAAAGGAATACAAAATACTCGCAAACCAAGTAATTTTTCTAAAGCATAGCTATGCCATTCCTCCCACACATACACTTGCAATCTTTGATGTAATTCTGAGCACTATTCAAATGCTGCAGTTATTTCCCAGAGGACAATACATAACAATTTTTTTTTTCATATTTTCAATAAAAATGGAAAATTCAGTTAGATTTTCTTCATGCATGCAAATCACAGCTGCACACTTAATCCAGTGGAAGACATGGAGCCTGCAGTGGTCTCTAGGAAAACTGGAACAAAAAAATCCCAATGTATAAACAATGAAGGGGAGGTGGGGGGCAATGTACATTGACATTTGTTATTGTTCTGCACATATTAGAGCTGATCAGGATAATGCAGCACAGGAAGTAAGACTCTGCTGAAAAGCCAAAAGAGAAATACATTTAACCTTATTAACTGTTCCTTACATTTTTTCCTCTTTAAGCTCATAATGCATTAGATTCTGCAGTGCTCTAACTGCAAAAGCACTTACTTGGAACACTGATTCCTCATCTTTATTCTGCAGCTGTAATAAAAGTCTGACAGCCCTCCTCTAGACTGCTTTTTCTTGCTAAACAAGGAGAACCTTCTTTCCTCAGGGTGTCTGAGGCTCTTAGTCACAAGCAGAAGAAACAGACTCTAAATGCACTGGCTATTGAGAAGCAAGCTATACAATATCTGCTTTTGACTCATGCCCTCCTGGATTTAAAACCTCTCCAAAAGCAGTACTACCTGAAAAAGGGCCCTTTGAATATGCATTTTTATGTGAAATGTAAGCTTATGTGCATTTTCTAGAGACAGAAATTTATTGTCCTTTACCAAGTCTAGCACACCAGCCCAAAGGAAAATTTCAGCTTTCCTTTACTGCTGTTCCTTAGTAATTCATTTGGGATGCTGAGACAGAACAAGCAAGATTAGTTTTGTTTACTAATTATGGAGTACTTGTTCATTTTACCTATCCCATAGAAGATATGCTAAGAAAGCATCTTTGTGGACAAGCTGAAGCACAAATTTTCACATACTAAAACACTATTATCTATGAGTTACACCATAAAGATATTTCACCAGACACACAGAACCATGCTTTGGTTACACAAAGTACTAAAATAGAGCTTAAAACGCAATAATCTCTTCCATCCACCAAATGCAAGCATTTAATGTAAATTTTAAAGCCATTATGCATGCTTTATTTGGTGGAGTGCACAGCAAAGGCTGCCTAGAGCAGAATTCTTTGACCCTATTTTTGTTAACATGCTTTTCTGCAGGAAGAGGACATTTCTCCATAGTCAAATGTTATACACACAGATGAAAATACAACACAACAAGTATTTGAACACAGTAGCAAACATTCACAACTGCAGTGTACTGTGTTGAGCAGGAATGCAATTATAACATACACAGTATAAATAATTCATCCCCCAAATTAAACCTTTGTTTACATGGCTTAAAACTAAAACCATTAAATTTTGTCCACCATTTTTCATCACAATCCCCCACTAACAGCAACAGAAGGAGTGATGTCATGTGGGATAGATCAATAACCAGTGGCTATCAAAGTTTTCCATTGCTACAACAATTGCAAATGTAGGGAACAAAGCAAAGCATCCAGTCTCCACGTGTTTTATCTGAAATCCTTTGTCATTAGTACACTAAATCTGGGAAACCATTTATCTTCAACACGTTGGTATGTTCATGTTCAACACTTCATCCAATCCATCTTGAGAATTCCAAAAGCAGTGGATTACTTGAGAATGGAGAAGTCAGGAGCTCACCAATCCCTGCCAGGCTGAGGAAGCAGACTGCCAGAACCAGCTGCCCACACGGCATTCCTTAGGGACACAGAGCTGGCCAGGACAGCTCCCCTGACCATCTCTGCCCGTGCTGCTGTCTGGGAGCAATCTGAACCAGCACACAGCAACAGTGGCACTTGGTGTCACTGTGCTCACCACTGCTGTGGCAGAAGCATCAGAAGCAGTTACATCCAAAGCTGCTAAAACTCAGCCTGGATTGTGCCTGGGCTCAGCACGGTCATTCCTCACTCTGTGTGCCAGAACCTGCAACTGCACCTCACAGACACTAAGGTAGCTTGAACCATCTGTCTGAAGGGTCACTGCATCACAACACCTGCACAGAAAAACTGCTCCCAAACACAGAGCAAGCTCAGCTCAATGCTCTTCCAACTGCACTGATACCAGAACAGGTGCCCTGTATAAAATAGTTGATACATCCATCAAAATGAGAATTATCTTTAACTGGAAATACTTGTATTACTAATACCTAAAAGGCAAATGATTAGTAGTGTTGAAAAGTACAGATTTGCCATTGCTCTCAAAGTGGACAGGGCTGCTCTATCCTGAATGATATCAGTGCTTCTTTCATATATACATATATATATATATATGTATATATATATATGTATATATATATATATACACACATATATATATATATATATATATATATTTGTGTCTTATAGAAAGATTAATCTTTTCAATTGTAAGAAAAAGGTATGAATAAAGCCTGACTGTCTCACTGTGAAGATTTTTATGAAGAAAATTATAGTGCATTTTATAAAGAAAAGTAGCAAGCTAAGTATCTGTTAGTAACAAAAAAATCCTATCTTTTCTGACTTATAAATTTTTAGTGTAATAAGATGGAAAAGAGCAAGAAGTAATATTTAAACTACACTAGTAAAAAATATTTTAAATTTAAATTAGGATTGCTAAACTACCCCCTCCATTTGTCTTTTTATCTGTGTCTTATTGCTAACTTAGTAAGTACTCTGAGCATCTTCTGAGAAATGACATTAATTGTGCCCTTTGTTCAAGACACACAACGTTTTAACCTCACTGCCAAATGCCAAACTGACTTGTCAGAAACACAGAAATCTCAAACATATTTCATATCTGCACATATCCTCCAAATTGGCAGCTTGATGAATGAAAAAGGTCTGATGTCTCCAGTGTGAGCTCAATGGTTATCTGCTGTGCTCTGCCTGCTGAAAGGTAAATCAACACATGTGCAGATCCAGAGCAGCCACAGGGTATAATTATGGAAAGTGAAAGGAGATGAGTGTCAGTGGGAAAGTTTATAGGACATGCGGTAGAAATTAAACACGTTTTCTAGGTGATGGAAGGGAAAACACAGGAAGTATGTTGGTGCATGGTGGTAGGCTCAGGGGGTCTGAATGTGATCTGGGGCAACGGTGGTGCAAGAGCTGGGTTATTCTACAGGAAAGTTTATATAACAAGTCCACAGGAAGCCAGACTTCAGTAGTTCTGTCCTTTTATCCAGTAATAGCTTTATGATGCTCCTATTCCTCTTCTAAAGGAGAAGAAAAAACCCAAACCCCAAACAATAAAAAGGCCAGAACTTTAAATTTTTAAGTGATGTTCCAGCATTTACCAAACGGATCCAAGCTCCAGTACCAACCCTGCCTAGCTCTACTCGTACAGATCACGGGTACTTTTCTCACGATCAGCTATGATCGAGGTGGGGGGGAGGGGGGGGGCAGGTAAAATGGCCATTTTCGGGGCAGGAACTCGGATGACCTACTTCGTTCAGCTGTGTGCTGGCACGCTGAGCCCCGCTCCGCTGGGAGCAGAGCTCGCAGGCCGAGCTCCCCCCAAGCGGGGCTGCCAGGCCCGGGGTCCGCCACGAGCGGCCGCAGGAACCCGAGGGGCCCGGCGGGGCCGCGGCCGCCCCGGAGCCGCCAGGCGTTCACTGTGCCCGCCCGATCCCCGCCGCAGCCCGCCCGCTCCCCGCCTGCCGGCCCCCGGCCCCAGCCCGGGGAGGAGGGTCCCTGAGGGCCAGGAGGGCGCCCGGGCCGCCCTTCATGGGGCGGGCGACGGCGGCGGGAGGGCCCGGGGGATCCTTCACCCACCTCTCGGCAGCGGCGGCTCTGAGGACGCGGCTCCTCCCGCTGGAGCGGCGGAGAGGGGCCCTGGCTCCGTGTACCATACAGCCGGGGGCGGCGGAGGGAGGCGCCGGGGGGCTGCGGAGAGGGGCAATGGCTGAGGCGAAGCCGGGAGGAGGAGGAGAAGGAGGCGGAGGAAGAAGGGGGGATCCTGGGCTCCCTCCTCCCCGCCGTCCGCGCTCGGGGGGGAGGCAGGAGCCGGCCCCGCCGCGGCGCCCGGGCACCGGCGCTCCTGGCCCGGCCTCGCCCCGGGGTCCCCGCCGCCCTCACGCTTGTTTACCTTCCGCGCTGCCCCGCGCGGCCGCGGGCGCCATGTTCCCCCGGCAGCACCGCGCCGGCCGTCACTTCCGCCGCACCTGAGCCGCGCGGGCGGGCCCGGGCCGAGCCGCGGCACCGGCACCCGGCACAGGCATCTCGGCACCGGCACCGCCCCGCGCGGGCTCAGCCAGAGGCCGGAGCCCCGGCACGCCCCGAGGAGCACGGCTGGAGACAGCGACACCGAGAAGCATCATCTGCGTCCGGCCCGCGAGGACGCGCATCCACACGGGTCCGCTTGCACAGGGTCCGAGTTGCGCTGCTCTCTCCCACCCGCTGCCTCCGGGCTGCGGCCAATTCCTCCGAGGCTACGGCAGCTGCCCGGTGTAGCGCTGCATCCCGCCCCGGGCTGCACTAATCCCCGCTCGGTGCCGGCTGGGCTCCTCCCCGGCCACCGGGCAGCCCAGGTGCTGCGGGCTGATCCCAGCTGATCCCAGCCCGCGTGGGAACCGGGGCACCCGAGCCGCCCCTGAGCAGCGAACAAACTGCACACAGAGAGCACTGCCCTGAATGGGGTGAGCAAGGCTCTGCCTTAGCACAAACATCACCCCTTAGCTTTCACTATTTTGCCTTTGCCTGGCAAGCTCAGATTTTATTGTAAGAGATGAACTAACCTACGTGGAGCTTTGGTTTGCCACTACCACCCCCAAACCATTTGCTACCCTTCCATGTCACTCACTGCTATAAACAGTAGGCCACAGGCTGCCATCCTCTCCCCATTTACTGCTGTCCCCATCTCTTTCACAGCCTATTTTCAGTCTCTCATTACCACCCCCTTCCCATTCTTGATTTATAAAACAAGTGTACCTTCTCTATACCTGCCACCCCCAAGCTGAATGTCCTCCTCAGCTTTCAGGGCTTCACACAATGAACCAGCTATCCAAGTGGTGCCTCACAAAGACTTCCCAATGCTATTCCCACTCTGCTCACCTGCCCACCTACTGCTCCCTCTGCTACAATCAGCTTCCCATTCTCTCCTTCATCCCAATGGGCAGGCCTTTGCCACTCCTTACTATTCCATCTCATTCACTCGTGCAGTAAATCTGCCCCATCTCCCCAGTCACTGTTTTAAACCTGTTATTTGTGCACTTCTGGTGAAAAAAACCAACCTTTATAGACTGACCCTGCCAAGACAGCAGATGTTCCTGCCACCTATGCCTCAAAGGAGAGGCATTCCCTCCCTCTTCCATAAGGGACATCTCCTGCTGCAGCAAGCATATGCCCACCCGTATCAAATGCTTCAACAAAGAAAAATTAGTAGAAACCAAGTTTATCAGATACAGAAATGATACAAGCAAAACTTCATGCATCCTACTGCACCCCTCAGGCTTTTGACCTTCACAGGTGAGCCAGGGTGGAAAAAGCAAAACTTTCATGTTTTACCTGACTGTCATTTTGCTGTCTCCAGTTTGTGTCAAGCTGAGGTGTGAGATGATCAGATCTCTCCTACACACTGTCACAGAAGAGGACCTCAAACCTAGCCACAAAACAAAACCACAACAGCTTTGACATTTAAAACAGCTCAACATTTCAAAGCACAAAAAACCTCTCCCGTCCCCTTCCCCTTCACATAGAACAATTTGCTTCTATCAAAAAATCAAAATATGTTAATAGTGTCTCAGTTCTAGTCTCCTGAATAAAATTAAATAATTACATTTAGGCCTCTGACAATGACCACTGGTATCAAGATTACCTTACTGAATATTAATTTAAATTAAGATTTAGGTTGACCCCTCTGATTTAGGCATCTCTACAAAGTCAGTGGCTAAGCTGTTACCACAGGCTTAAATGAGACTATTGCAATGAATAAAATTCTGGATATAATTTTTTGAACTATATTAATACACTAGTTATGATTTAATTCTAATATTTTAAACTTGATTTAATTCATATATAAATGTCCAATACATATATACTGACATATGACATAATGTCAACTCCTAGAAATGTTCTTACCTATTTTAGTTGGGGTTGTTCAGCATGGACAAGAGAAGGCTCTGAGGAAACCTTCTAGAAGCTTTTGGTGCTTAAAGGGGACTCAAAATAAGGCCTGAAAATGGACTTTTCACAAGGGCATGTAGTAACAGAACAAGGGAGAATAATTTTAAATTGAAAGAGGGCATGTTGAGATTATGTGCTAGGAAGAAATTCTTTCCTGTGAGGGTGGTGAAGCACTGGCACAGATTTCCAGAGAAGCTGTGGATGCCCCATCCCTGGGAGCGTTCAAGGCCAGGCTGGAAGGGGCTCTGAGCAACCTGGGATAGTGAAAGGTATTTCTGCCCATGGCAGGAAGATTTGAACTCAATGGTCTTTGATGTCCCTTAGAACTTAAACCTATAATCCTACAATAATTGGACATTTGCAGACTTTAGACTTTTCTGGGTTTTCTTTATACTACAAATATTTCTAGATAAGTGAATCAAAATAGCAAGAGTACTTCAGAATATGTAAAATGTACAAACTCATTATTAAAATAGAAGCAACAGTTTGTGGGTTTTTTTCATATTTCTGACAGGGTGTTTGGCAAGGATTAAGTCCTTTTTAAACGCTGTTTCAAATGTGACAAAAACTATTTCCATAATTTTACACACACTGCACTGCATTTATTGCATAATTTACACAGCTAAGTAACTACAGAGTCCAGTATTTTCAGTTCATTTTCATAAAAGAGGGATTATACATGTGTGAACATGGAGGCAACTACAACCAAGTATTGCATCATGTTCCCACTGCACCTCGTGCATCTCAGTTGTTTTTCCCAGCAGTGAGATATTTAATACAAAATTGAAAACAACATGTGGCCTGATAAAAGATTGGATATGAAAATTTATTTTCCAAATCAATGTATGACATGATTGGGTTGCAAGACAAAATACATTTTGTCATTGGCAACACCTTCATAGATACTGGGAGGTTTCTTACAATGTGTTCCTGTTAATTTCCTCAGACCAAGAACAGTGGCAATGTGTTTGCTCCAGGTACATCCAGCACAACTCACTCCTAGCTTTTGATCAGGAAAGCATGGAAATAGTAGCATTGGTGAAAGTGGGAGGTCACAAACATTGCTAAACCAGGCACACCAGTTTCACATGGATTTCCATCATCACATTGCAGTCACGTGGTTGTCTGCCCCAAACTTGCTTTTTTGACCTGCAAACCAGGTTAAGTCTGAGAACAAACGTGTTTTCCAACAGACAAAGCCACTGCTGTTGGCACAACACACAGGAATTTGAAATAACTGGTTACCTGCATTGAAACCTGCTTCCCTGACCATGGAGGAAATACTCTCAGCAACATCTTCTGTGCTTGTAAGAGGCTCCCATGAAGAAGTCGCCTTGATTTCCCACAGGGAAGGGTTGGGAATTTGGTGAACCTCTAACCTGGCTCTCATCACTGGATTAGGGATTTTATTCAATTTAAAAAGCATTTATGTCATACCCAACTCTGGAAACAGCAAGTGTTTGGTGGGATTTTTACCTGTTTCATACAAAACATTCAGGTTGTTCGTATGTTGGGGCAGCTCTCACATCCACATGCTTTCCCTAACAATGATATCTGTTGCCCAGTCTACAAAGACAGCAACGAGAAAAAAGGGAGAAATTAGAAAGATGTCCTCATGTCGATGGCCAGCAGAGGTTATAATACGTTATAACACAGGTTATAATACAGGTTATAACACAGGTATAACACGTGCTATAACACAGGTTATACCACAGGTTATAACATAGGTTATAACACATGCTATAATACAGGTTAAAACACATGCTATACCACAGGTTATACCACAGGTCATAACATAGGTTATAACACAGGTATAACACATGCTATAATATAGGTTATACCACAGGTTATAATACAGGTATAACACATGCTATAACACAGGTTAAAACACATGCTATACCATAGGTTATACCACAGGTTATACCACGTTACTGTTCAAGCAGACTCCGCGGTCGATGCGCTCCTTTCGGTACATACACGGGCACCGTGTTTCAGTCCTCCCCCCGGGTGCCTTTCTGCACCGCACCCCCGGGACACGGCAAATAAACCCGCACAGCCACAAACCCTGAGCCCGGCCCCCTGAGCCTCCTGCGATCGGTGTGCCTTTCACCGGGCCCGTCCCCTTCCCGCACCCACGGCGCTGTTCACCGGCGCGACCTGTGCCGGCTCCCGGCGCTCCTGGTGGGGTGTTCGGGCCGTCCGTCCCGGCGGGCTCCGGCTGGGCCGAGCTGCGCGCTCCCGCAGGCGCGCCGTGCCCGCGCCGTGCCCGCGCTCCCGTTGCCGCCGGCCGCGCTCCCGCCCCGTGCACGCGCGCGGCGCGGCCGCGCCGCAGGCCCCGGTTGCATCACCCGGCGTGAGGGCGCCCAGGGGTCCTTTACAGGGCTGCCCGGTGACTCGCCTGACTCGTGGCCGCTCCGCCACGGAGCCAGTGGAGGCTCGCCGGCGCTGATCGCTGTTTGTCCTTGAGCTCGGTGTCCGCTCCCGGGGCGGCCGGTGCCGCGCTGTGGGCCGGAGGCTGCGGGCCGGCAGCGGCGGTGCAGAGAGGAGCCGGCGGTCAGGCGGCCGCGCGGGACTCCTTACTTCCTACTCGGGCCAAGATGGCGGGGGACGAGGCGGGAGTGACTCTGGGGCAGCCGCACCTCAGCCGGCAGGATCTCGGCACCTTGGTGAGCGCCGCCCGCGGGGCGCCCCGGAGCCACATCGGGCTCCCGGGGCTCGGCGGGCGCGGCCGGGTGGGCTCGGGCTGCGGCCCGAGGGGCTCCGAGCCTTTTGCCGGGCCCCACCGTGGCCGATGCGCTCCGAGGGGCGCGGGAGGTGGCGGCGCCTCGGGGAGCCGCGGTCAGCACGCGGGGCGGCGGAGGACGGGGCCGAGGGCAGGGGGCGCGGGCAGGGAGCGGGGACCGAGGGCAGGGAACGGGGAGCAGGTGCTGCCGGCCCTGGTGGGTGTGGGGCGCCGGGCGAGGCGCTTCTCCCGCCCGTGGGTGCGGGGCTCAGCGGCTCCGTGTCCCGCCGGCGCGGCTGAAGCTTTCATGGCTCTCTGGTGGCTGCAGTTTTCCTCATCTAAGGTTTGGCCTGTTCTCTGGTATTAAAGACTTCTCTTTTTCCGAAGCAGAACCATAGATTTGAGGTGTTTCTCTACAGCAAACTCGAGGAGTTCGCTACCAGCCCTGTCTTGGTTGGTTTGCCAAGAAAGTGTTCTTGATTATTAACAACTACCGAGAAATACCAGTTCTATCTGCCGCTGCAGCCAGTTGCAGTGCTCTCCTTGCCTATTAAAAATCTCACCTGGGCTTCCTCACTTATTACACTTACACGCTACTCTAAGTGTATCTATAATGTATATTTCAAATGCAGGTGTGTTATAATGTACATAGTCAAAAATCCTCCTGCTGTGTGCCCGGTGTTTAAACTGGAGCAGCTAATTTGTTTTTACAGTAATAATATTCGATGTTTTTTGGGCTTGAGCACAGGAATTCCCTACTGTGAGCGTGTTAGTTATTTCAGATAGTTTCTTTTCTTCCTGTCATTGTTGACCATGGCATTTCCCAGCTGGAAAAGGCACAGATAGAGACTGGCTGGAACATCACCAGGAATTCTCTTTAAGGCCTGCTCTGCCGGCCCTTGAGTGCTTGTGGCTGAGTGAAGCTTCTTGCTGAGCAATAGCGTTGTACAGTCTTGAGGCAAAAGCTCCATGCGTGCATGATTTCATGCACCAGGAAGAATTCTCCTGGTGGCAGGAATTGCATCACGCTGAAATTCTGGTCACCCGGCCACATAGTGCCATCTGCAGGTCACGTTCCCATCCTGGGAAGTCATTTTAAGTTCGATATATGAGAAATATAAATTTATCTGTGTGTCTTAGGTGTTCAAAACTTGCTTTGTATTGAAGGGGAACATTTTATTCATGTCATACTTGAGAGCAGAATGACTGAGCTTACGTTTTTACACAGATGTGTTTGATCATTTTGCACAGAGCCTCCATGTAACAGTGTAAACAATATGTGATTCAATGTTTGTATTATTTGTATCTTAAGTTTTGTCCTGCACCGAGGACTCTTCTGGCATCATGAATCTGCTTGAACTGAGTGGCTCATCCCTATGAATTCAATGCAGGATGGATATTAGCTTTACAGAAAAACATTTCAGTGGATTTCAACACTTGTCCATTATTTGGTCAAACAGCTTTTAAAAAAATAAACAACTCTTTCAGAGTTGTTTCTTTATCTATACAGAGTGTATTTGTGAGGTTTTTGTGTTGCCAGTGGCTACCAATAAGTTCACACAACAGACTGTTTAGGACAGCAGAATTTTTACCTGGTACCTAAAGCAGCAATAACAGTATCTGAGGAAAAAAACAGCCATTAAAAAGAATTAAAAGCCATGGTGCTAATGAAACCTCTGGACCCAGTGACTCCAAAGTGTTAGTTGTAATTAGGTATTGGCTGTAATGGAACTTTACACCAATTAAACAACTGTTTATTGACAAAGCTTTGTTTATAAAATATTAGTGCAGTTTGTCATGTAGACTGTTGAAAATGGATTTGTCTGTTGTGTAATTTAGGTTCAGGGATAGGAAGGTGCTTGGGGTGTTTTGTTAAAAGCTTCTTTTGAGATTTGTTTTGTTTACTCCCATCTTTAACACTTTGCAGCCAAGTCTGATTTACAGTCAGGGTTTTGAATTGAAGCCTGTACTGATTCACAAGCAGGACTTGGTTCATTTTTACCCACATATTTCGCACACTTAAAAAACTGGAATGCACATAGTATAACTGGATTTTGCTGAATAGAACTATCAGTTAATTTTCAAGTTTCTAAATTTTTAACTTTACAAACTTTTATATACAAGTTGAATAAATTCTAAAATCTCCCTCATACAGGATGTTACCAAGTTGACGCCTCTCTCACCAGAAGTCATCAGCAGACAAGCAACAATTAATATAGGTAAAAAAACCTTATAAAAAAGAGGGGTGCATTAAGGTGACTCTTTTTGATGCTCATGCAGTAGCAGATAGTGCCTATGTGGTAACACTGTCAAGAAATTTGTGCAGAAACAGTTACATAGTAGTTTTAGGGACTTGTCCAGCCCTTTTGCCTTAAAAACCATCAATTTTACTTCAGGAGCACAGTTGAATGGCATAGGGAATAATTGCTAAAGCAGAATTTGTTTTACCTTTGAAGTAAAGGATTGAAGTGGGCTTCATTAAAATGCAAAGATCTGTCCATTGGGAGCACAATTTCAGGCCTTGTTTGTTTAAACAAAAATGATTACAAATTCCATATGTATACCATATGGACTTACTGGCTGTGAGAATTTGGGGTAATTGTGTATTGATTATAGTGGAGCATTGCACAAAATTAAACTAGTTTATTAACAAGCATTTCCTTCAACAACACAGGTACAATTGGTCATGTAGCCCATGGGAAGTCAACAGTAGTCAAAGCTATATCTGGAGTTCACACTGTCAGATTTAAAAATGAACTGGAAAGAAATATCACAATCAAGCTGGGTTATGCTAATGCAAAGGTGAGTCATCACTGTAATTGTAGCATCTCTGTTACTAATATATTTCATGGGGGATGTAAGATTACAGGTAACTAACCCTTGAGGAATTAAACCTTTTTTCAATTTAAAAAATCCCAGATTTACAAGCTGGATGACCCAAGCTGCTCTCGACCAGAGTGCTACCGGTCCTGTGGAAGTAGCACCCCAGATGAGTTCCCTACAGATATTCCTGGCACCAAAGGGAACTTTAAACTAGTCAGGTAACTGCTTTAAATTACTGCAATAAATGGTGTTTAGTTGCCTTTGTATGAGAACAGGATTGAGCTGCGAGCTGAACGAGTTCTGGCACACTGCACATTCTTAGATGGGGCACCCTGGGCTAAGGCATTGTCTAATCTCAATTCATTGGTGGTGGTGAGCACTCCATGGTACAGCACAGCTGTGTCTGCTGCCCTCAGCTACTTGCAGGACTTTGAAGTTAAATATTTCTGCTATTAATAGAGGTACATTTTAAACCAGGCAGATTGAGAACTAATGTGGACCTCACAAACACATCTTTTAGATCTCTTTTGGAAGGGTGATCTTTGTTGAACTTTTTCTTCCTAAGGGCAGAGTTTCCAAAGCTTTTTAAATGAATATATGAAAGCCTGATGCTGAATGTGAGATCAGGCCTCTCACTGGAGGCCAAGTGTTCTTTATTTGCTTGATTTCTGATGAAGTATAGCACTGTCTTTATGCAGTGGTGATGTGGCTCTGCACAACAATTGCTCAAATGAGAGTAGTCATGAAGACTTGTGGAGATCCTTGGTACACCACACAATACATGTGGTGTAACCATGTGTCTTTCCTTTTCTCAGATTCCCAGCAGAGCACTTGTACTGAGATGAATTTCTGTTGGAGTGTGACAGGCAGGCAGTCATTGTGAAAAAACTGGTTAAAAGCTTTGCATTCTTTATCCTACTGGATACTTGCTTGTAGGAGATTCCTAACATCATCAGTAAAGCACCAAATTAGTCCCTTTTTGATGGCCTGCCACTAAGAACAAGGATTCTTCACTAGATAGGTTCAGGAAAGAGTATAGTGAATCAACTATGTTGGTCTGCACAATAAAACCATAAGGTTGGAAATGTGACATCATGTCTGTAGACAAATCTTTGAAGTGCAGTTATAACCATATAATTAAAGATGCATAGTTTCCTAAAAATGAAGAATGGGAGGTGCCTGTTAAAAGAGTTGAGAGAAATCCCATGTGGTGTGTTGGGATTTGGGTTAGTGGTGGTGGGTTGGTTTGATTTTGAGCTTTTATCCTGGTGCATTTAATCTAGTTTAGAGTAAATTGGTGAAATATTAAAGAGGTACTTAATGTGGACATGTGGAATTAAATCTGAAAACTCAGAAAAAGTATTCAGTAGCTGTTCAGTAGCATTTGTGTTCTTTCAGAACTTTTTTGAAAATACTATTTTAAGGATACTTTTAATGTCTGTGTCTGGCTAATCACTGACATAAATCAGTCAGAGGAATTGTGATAATGGCTTTTGGATCTCTCTTTCACCTTCTCCTGCAACAGGCATGTCTCTTTTGTGGATTGCCCTGGCCATGATATTTTGATGGCTACCATGCTGAACGGTGCAGCAGTAATGGATGCAGCTTTGCTCTTGATAGGTAATGATTGCTCCCCAAATGCAGAGCTCTGTTTTGTAGTA